CCGCGCTGCCGGAGGGTCAGTGCTGAGGGAGCGCCGCGCTGCCGGAGATGCCTCCTCTTGAGCAAGGCCTTAAAGCATTATCCTTTCTACAAGCTCAGGTCAACTCCATAGTTATCAGGTCAACTGTGTTGAGGAAAAACAGTGAGGGATGGTGAACACCTTTTCTCCAAGTCTCAGATATCAGCCTTGCTTGGACCTGACATCCCAAGACATTCCCGCATGGAAAACCACCATACTCTCTGGCCTATGTCCTTGACAAGGTACAAACATGACAGCAGCACGTAGTCACTCACTCTTTCCGCTTGACATAGCGAATGACATATTCCCAGATGTCTTGACACTGGCCAGTACAGAGACTGAAAAAAAAAAACACAAAACAGAAAATGAACAAATATAAAAGGAGAATTTCACTCTGAAAATTCGAAAAATATTGTCATTTATACATGCCTCTGAAACGCGAAGTCTTCAGAATGAAATACAGATGAGGAATGTTACTGAACACAGACGTTGTCAAAGCTAGAAACTGCTGGGGAAAGTCAGCGGGTCTGACAGACCCCCGGAGAGAAAGCAAAGTTAACACACAGAGTCCTGAGATGATTCTTCAAACAGAGAACAGATAGAATAGTGCTGAAGGGTCACTGGACCCGAAACGTTAACTCTGCTTTTTCTCCACAGATGATGCCATATCTGCTGCGTTTTTCCAGCAATTTCTGTTATTTCAGATCACCACACCTGCAGTTCTTGGTTTTATTATCAGCACCAACACAAGAATGCCAAACTTCAAACACTTGCAACAAATCATACCACGGCCTTCAAAATTTGCTGTTCTTGTTACTATCCTGACAAGTACAGCAATACATCTCCCCTTTTCAGAAACACAAAACACCGCAAAGTGTCTGCAGCCCCAAATTCAGCCCCAACACAATTTACTTGCACCACTCCCTGCGGGAATGAGTTCCACATTCTACCCGACTCTCTGGAGAAATACATTTCTCCTGAATTCCCCACTGGAATTATTAGGGACTGTCTCCTATCACTGCAGCCTAGTTCTGGACTTGTACCAATAAGTGGCAACATCTTCTCTACATCTAACCGAAAAAGCCACTTGCCTAATTTTACAACTTGGATCAGGTCACCCCTCAACCTTGTCTTTTGTAGAGAAAGGATTTCATGGCCTGTCCAATCTTTCCGAATCATTTCAGTACTGGGATCATAGGCAAGCATCGGGCAGGGCAGCACAGTCAGTCAAGACACAGTGACATCTCAGAGTATGCAATGATTAAACATTATAAACTATCCTTACTTTCGGAATGCGGTGTCGGAGGGCATGCTGCGATCAGGGATTCCCATCAAGCCTGCCCATTCCTTCAGCTTCATGGCCATGTCCTCCATGATCTGGAAAAGATGCCAGTCATTTGAACAAAAATCTTCAGCAGAATCAACCATTGCCAAGCAACGCACACAAGCACACAGATGCCACAGGGTCTTTTTGCCTTACGTAGGTATGCGACACATTCCCAGCCCGAGCGCAGTAACACACTGTCTGTAATCCTGAGACAACAAGGTGCAGAGCTGGATGAACACAGCAGGCCAAGCAGCATCATAGGAGCAGGAAGGCTGACATTTCGGGCTTAGACCCTTCATCAGAAATGGGGGAGGGGAAGGGGGTTCTGAAATAGATAGGGAGAGAGGGGGAGGCGGATAGAAGATGGATAGAGGTCCTGTCTCCCCGCCCCCAGCTCTCTCCCTGTTCATCCCCGCGCTTTCTCTCCACTTTACTCCACCTTTGCTCATGACCCCTACCATTCCCTATTCACGCCTCCAGTTCTCTGTCCCGCTTTGCCCCATCTATCCCTACCTGTTTATCCTCATCTCTTCCTTTCCCTGTTTGCCCCTGCATCTCTATCTACCCCTTCCATGTCTCTTTATTTGTTTCCTCCATCTCTATCTGCCCTCTCCACCTTTCTGGTCTTGGTTCCCCGCCCCCATACCTATTTGTCCCTCCACCTGTCTACTTTACCCCTCAATCTCTCTACTTGCCCTCTCTGACTCTATTTTCCCCTCTAACTCTCCCTACTTACCCCTCTACCTCTCCTATTCTGACATTCACCTCTTGCTGCACAGTTTCCCGCCTTGCGCGGTGCAAACGAACGCACGGCGCATAGCTAAATCGTCACCCGCGCAAGCGCAAACCTCCAGTTAGCTGCCGTCACGAGCCCCGCGCAAGCGCAGACCTCCGCCGGCTCGAGCCCCGCGCCTGCGCGCCTTTCAGATTTTAAATCTCCAGTCAAAGCAACGGAACAAAAAACCTCCAGGTGAAGGAGCACGTGACTGGAGCATCAGTTGAGCAGCTAAAAGTGACCCATATATGAGTAAAAAATCATATCAATAATATCACCATCCTTCAATAAAAGCCCCTTCAATAATAGCAGCATCCTTAAAAAATAGAACACCTTCAATAATTATCATCTCTCTTCAATAATGACTCCCTCTCTAATATCATCATCACTCAATCATAACCCCTTCAATAATGTCATCATCCTTTAATAATATAAATCAGGAAAGTGATGGAAGCTGTAATCAACAGTGCTATCAAGCAGCACCAGCTCAGCATAACCCGCTCAGTCACACCCAGTTTGGGTTCACCAGGGCCGCTCAGTTCCTGATTTCATTACAGCCTTGGTTCAAACACGGACAAAAGAGATGAATTCCAGAGGTGAGGTGAGCATGACAGCCCTTGATATCAAGGCTGTATTCAACTGAGAGCAGCATAAGGGGCACTCGTAAAACTGCAATCAATGGGTATCGAGCAAATTCTGGTTGGAGTTATACCTGGGATGTGGAAGATGTCGTGGTTGTTGGAGTTACTCCATCATAAGGTCAGAAGTGGTGATGTTCACTGGTGATTGTACAATGTTTAGCACCATTCATGACCACTCAGATACAAAAGCAGTTCATGTTCAAATGAGACATGACTGAACGATATCCAGGCTTGGGCTGACAAGTGGAAAGTAACATTCACGCCACAAAAATGCCAGGCAATAACTATCTCCAATAAGAGACAATCTAACCACCATCTTTTGACATTCAATGGTATTATCATCACTGAATCCCCTACTATCAACATCCTTGGGGTTACCATTGACCAGAAATTCAACTGGACTTGTCACATGAACACAATGGCAACAAGAGCAGGTTGCTGGTGAAGAATACTGTACCAGTTATCTCACCTCCTGACACCCCAAAGCCTGTCCATCACCTGCAAGACATAAGTCAGGAGTATGATGAAATACTCCCCACTTGCCTGGAAGGATGCTGCTCCAACAACATTCAAGAAGCTGGACACCATCCAGGACAAAGCAGCCCGCTTGATTGGCATCGCATCCACAAGCATTCAGTCCCTCCACCACCAACACTCAGTAGCAGCAGTGTATACTATCTCAAAGATACACTGCAGAAATTCATCAAGGCTCCTTAAACAGCATCACAACCACTTCCACCCAGAAGGACAAGGGCAACAGATACACCTGCAAGTTCCTTTCCAAGTCACTTACCATCCTGAGTTGGAAATATATCACTGTTCTTTCTCTGTTGCTGTGTCAAAATACTTGAATTCCTTCCCTAAGGGCATTGTGGGTCAACCTATAGCATGTGGATTGCAGCAGATCAAGAAGGCAGCTCACCACCAATAAAAGCTGGCCAGACAGCAACGCCTACATCCTGCAAGTGAATAGAACAATAATACCCCCTTTACAAACTCAGCCCTTCAATAATATTTTCAACCATTTAGTAAGAAGTCATTTAATGACATCTGCGGGATTCACTCCTCATTAGAGGTACGTGGGCAAATGTTGGCCAGTCCATTCCATCTTTTCTATTTCTTCTCTGTTTGGCCTGTTTGATCCTGGAATGAGGGATTTATTAAGACACATGTTACTGGTTGGCACAGCTGTTCACGTTGGTGTTGGTGGGGGAAATGGCAGAGAAGAGTTACCATGGGAGTGAGTAAGCAGCACAGATGGCAGGCAGGGTTAGTCATGCAGAAGGTTTGCGTGAATGAAAGTGAAAAAAGAAAGACGCTGCATGCAAGAGTGAGAGGGGTAGAGCATTGGCCTTAGGTGGCAGGTGGGTACAGATGCACAGAAGGAATAGTGAGACTTAACAGATGGTGACACTCCCTGGCAGAATGAAGCAGGTCATTGACCTCCTTCCTACATTGCTGGGCATTCCTCCAGGTGGCACTGACTCAGGTGGCGATCTGGGACAGACTGGCATGGTCTGGTATGGTGGCGTCCTCTGGTAGACCTAGGGATGAGGACATTCATCTTCTGCTTCGTCCCATCCACCAGGACCTCCATGTGCCTGTCCACAGAGCGGTGCCCCAATTTTCCGTGCCACGTCTGGGGAACATGACAGCTACTGTGGTCAGCAGTTCCAAACTGACAGTGCCTGTCCAGGAGCACAATGGGCATTTAAGGATGGCACCAGTGACAGTGATCCCAGGCTATTCTATGGTATCTGGTTAGTGGTGTCTTGTTCCAATGAATGGTTGAATTGGAATCAGATGAGGAGGGTGCAATTTGGGCAGGGTAGGTAGTTTTGGAGTCATACAGCGTGGAAACAGAGACTTTGTCCATGCTGACCAGACATCCCAATCTGACCTAGTCCCTTTCACCAACATTTGGCCCATATCCCTCTAAACTATTCATGTACCCATCCAGATTCCTTTTAAATGTTGTAATTGTACCAGTCTCCGCCACTTCCTCCAGCAGCTTATTCCGTACACGCACCACTCTCTCGTGAAAAAGTTACCCCGCAAGTCCTTTTAAAATCTTTCCCTTCTCACCTTAAACCTATGCTGTCTAGTTTTGGACTTCTTCACCCTAGGAAAAAGACCTTGGCTATTCACCCTATCCATGCCCCTCATGATTTTATAAACCTGTATAAGGTCACCCCTCAGCCTCCAGCGCTCCAGGGAAAAAAAGGCCCAGGCTTTTCTAAATTGCTTGTGAATGTTTATTGTAATAATCAATTCTAAATTACATTATAGGAATGAATATTGTATGATAGAATATCAAAGATAGTTATAACATGACTATTCTACTTTAAATGTGTACACAATGTTTATAACTGCCTTAAAAGCATTTGGGTGTTCAATCAAATAAGATTTTGTTAAAAACTCTACTCACAATTTATTGTCAGTGTCGTCTCAACTTTTCAGAGGGGAGTTAGTGGTGAAATCGATCTTTTTGGTTTTCTAAGATGGCTGCTCTCTCTGTGTTCCTGAGTATGTGTTGCCATTTAAGACTTTTAACCTGTTTACCTGACAAAAAGTCTTCTGTTATTCAAAAAAATCTCCTCTGCTTGCATATATATATTTTTTAATGATTTCTTACAGTTCACTTACATTTATCTTACAGTTCAGGTATTTGGTAGTCCTCCAGCTGCAAGGTGTGCCAGATTCCTAAAGGTTGCATGATTTTCTATATAGTATTTTCTCAGTGGTTCCCTATTCAAATATGAAACAGAGAGCACGTCATTTACAGGAACTCCATTCAACAATTAACAGTTTCCAGAAACAAACTGAACACTGCCATGGGAAAGAAGGGGTAGGAACATCTTTCAACAGAGTATACCCTTATCTAGAAATAATACAGAAATTTAAGTGGGGATGTGAGTCAAGGATTCATTGCCCTCATTGAGAGGGAATTCTAAGTCTGTAATCAGCAGCTATTCCCCCACACTGACCAGGAATAAAACACACCATTTCCAGTATTAAACTTAAATCACTATCTCCCCAGCATGGTGGCTCAGTGCTGCCTCACAGCGCCAGGAACCCAGGTTCGATTCCACCCTCGGGCGACTGTCTGTGCGAAGTCTGCACATTCTCCCCGTGTCTGCGTGGGTTTCCTCCCACAGCCAAAAGATGTGCAGGCTAGGTGGATTGGCCATGCTAAATTGCCTGTAGTGTTCAGGGATGTGTAGATTAGGTGGGTTTATAGGGGGATGTGTCTGGGTGGGATGCTGTATGGGTCAGGGTGGACTTGTTGGGCCGAAGGGCCTGTTTCCACACTGTAGGGATTCTATGATCTTCTCCAGCCAGACCCTATCATGCTGTCCAAGACAATCTCCTTCCTTTCACTGTGCTTTCTTCCTTCACACCCCCAACACACTTCCTGCCCTAACCCAACCATTTCTCCACCCGTAGTCCAGTCCACTGTCTGCATTAATTCTGCTGAGCTCCCAAGCCCACCTTCACCCACCCCCTTCTCTGCCCCTCCATTCTCCCTGATCCCTTTCCCTGTCTACCCAGCCCCGTTCTTGTCTCCTCTCCAGTCTCCGAATCCTTCTACTATCCTCTCTTCCTACTTCCCTGATTTCCGTTCCCAGTCTGTCTCCCACCTCCCTCTTCTCACGCTTGCTGATTTTCTTCCTGTCTCCCTCCCCACTCTTCCAATCTTACTTTCCTATCCTCTCCCTTTTTTGCCTCACTCCCAAACGCTGTTGACTTGTAACCCCTGTTAATAGAACCCATTTACCCAGTTCCATCCATTCCCCTGAGCAAAGAGGTGAGTGCTGAGGGTGATGAGGGAGAGTTTCCCCGAGATCCCCCCCTCCCTCTCTGTCCCTCAGTGGAAGACATTGACAGTAAAAGTACCTGCAGGTCCTTTCCAAGGACCGAGAGCTGGGTCAGGACCAGATTTGGACACAGGGACACCCACACTGTACAGAACGAGAGCCTTAATTCCTGTCCCTTACCCCTCTCCCGCCCTTAGCACTGGATCACCAGTTTGCTTGCATCATTGTTGACTTCAGAGGAGAAGCGGCTTTTAGCACAATGTGGAGAAATTTCTGCTGTCTTTACCTAGTCTGGGTTACATGTGATTCCAGACTCACAGCTATGTGGTTGACTCTGAACTGCCCTCTGGGCCACACCGGACGGGCTGGACAGCAATGTCCAGACCCTATGTATGAATTTTCAAAACGAGGGAGATCAACAAGAGTGTGAAAGATGGGTGTGGGTGTGGTGTGACCAGTATTTGGGACACAAATTTCAACAGAAATAGGGCTGCTGTAGAGACAGGAGAAAGGTTGGTGTTGAAAATTCAATTCAGTGAACTGAAACAAGATAATGTGATCACGAGTGTGGGGGGAAATGTTATTGAACATTTGATTTCCTGTTGAGTGGTTACTGAGCTGACAGCAGGATGCTAAATGTTAAGAATTACTACGGTGCTATTTTTTCTATTCGTCCTATTGTGCCTACTTAAAAACCGAAAGAACTGCGGATTCTGTAAACTAGTTCTAAGGAACGTTAACTTTTTTTCCTTCACAGATGCTGCCAGACCTGCTGAGCTTTTCCAGCAACTTTGTTTTTGTTCCTACTGTGCCTACTTCCTGCCTTTTCCCCTATCCCTGGATTCTATTACTGTCCAAAAATCAATCTAGTGCCCTCTTGCATCCCTCAATTGAAACTGCCTCCACCAAATTTAGAGGCAGTACATTTGCATATCTGAACTACTCGCTGTGTGGAAAAGTCACAAACAAAAAAAAACTGCGGAACTGGAGATCTCAAACAAACAAAAATAAAGCAACTTGGGATAGTCAATAAATGGCTGGCCAGCCAGCACGCCAACCTCCCACAAATGCATACAATAAGAAATTGCTGGAGAAACTCGGCAGTTCTGACAGCAGCTGTGGAGAGGAAACTGCGTTCAGAACGTTAAACGCTGCTTTCGCTCTGCATAGATGCTGCCCGACTTGCTGAGTTTCTCCAGCGATTTCCTTTTTCCCTCTCAACGTCATTGTTTCGTTTGCACACCACTGTAAATCTACGTGCCATACCTATCCTGTTCTTATTTCCTCTACAAGCGGAAACAGCTGGTCTGAGTTACTTGGTGAGGTTCGTTTGTTTAACAATTTCTGGCTGTGGGACAGTCTTTCATTACTCCACCGATATAGGCTCGATGGCCCGAATGGTCTCCTCCTGTGCTGTAAAAGCCCCTTCAGGCTGATGACGGAGTAACCGCTTGGATTCTCCCTCTGTACAAAGGTTACTTGTAGCCCGGGAAAGATTCCATTCTCACACAGAGAGAGGGGGATTTAGGAATCCTAGTACAGCCTCTGTGGGGAAAAGCTGGGTCAAAGCTGTTTTTCCCCTGAAGGGATTGAAGTGAGACAAGTGGGAACAGTTAACAAGAGCGGATGGAGAGCCGGGGTGGGGAGAGGGAGGAAGGCACAGAGACTGATCCACCGCCTACTACCCCTCTTTACAAGGTGGGTCAGTCTGAAAAGCTGATTACAAACAACGTCCGAAACTGAAAGCAAGTTTCAGACTGAGGACCTGTTACTGTGACGACCGGAACTTTGCACCTGATATATGTCGAAGTTTCTGGCTCGTCGTCTATTCGGTTGCAGTTTAAGCTGCTTCAAGATGTTTTGCGTCCGTGCTCTTCGGCGGCGCTAACCAGCCCGAGGGGAAATGGACCGAAATCAGATGCAGGTATAGTAGGAACTGCCGATGCTGGAGAATCTGAGATAACAAGGTGTAGAGCTGGATGAACACAGCAGGCCGAGCAGCATCAGAGGAGCAGGAGGGTCCAGACCCGAAACAAAAACCGAAAGAACTCAATACGAGTTTTGTATAGAAGAATACTTGTGTGTGTCTCGCATCCCGCTGACACTTCACCACCACTCATTCCCAGCACCTTCTCTCAGACTACGGGGTGTGGGAGATCGGTGGTGAAGGGAAGGGAGTTCTGGGGTGTCTGAACCGTTACTGATACCTCACCACCCCTTCTTCCCCGCCCCAAGTGTCTGGTGGGATTGGAGAACAAACACGGAGTGGTGAGGGAAGGCACTGGGGGAGTGAAAAGGGCAGACAGTTAAGATCGAAGGGAGGGAGGGACAGACCCGGATGGCAATGGGGGGCTCTATAAGTAGTGCTTTCACTTTCTACCGGACACTGTGTGTAGTTTCTTTCCTTCCTCCACACTGATAGACCCGGTCTCCTTAACAACCAATCCTCTATCCAATTTCGCTGGTTATCAATAACCAGTTTCTACGTGAAGAAACACCGTGGTAAGGTGATCCTGCCCCTTCCTTCCCATTGCATTGTTTGTTTCCAGAAACGGGGAGTCGCTCCTGCAGATTATGAGACCTGTCACCATCCCCTCTCAGCTCTGCTTCCCTCACCCCGGTGTCTGATTACAAAGGGATAGGCTGGGGAAGATGGTGGAGCAAGGAGGTGCCAGCAAAAATCTGTTGTAAAGAGTTTAACTGTGTTTTCCCGTTGCAGAGATACATCTCCCGAAGAGTACTGTTCGTGCTGCTAAGTGTTATTTCTGCTGTTTCAGGTCAGTGCTGTGACTACTGGGATATTTCTGCTGGG